TTTTTTCGATTTGCTGCATCTTTTACGTTTTTTTTTTTTTTTTTTTTTTTTTTTTTTTATAACTTTCCAGTTTTTTTTATAACTTCCCCGTAATTTGTCACGTGAGACATTCAGGGAGTTGTTTTACTCAATTGAGTATAGCACTATTATAATATACTGTTGTTTCAGACTTGCGTAACTAGATCTTGAGGCCTTTTTTTTTAAGTCTCTTTGCTGTATTGTTGTAGAGAGTGTTGGCAAGCGGGTTAGGGTGGTTTAGGGTCCTTGATTTGTATTTGTCAGACATCCACTGTATCCTTTGGTACTGCTGGGATTTGTAAATCTTTATGTATGTCCTCATTTTTGACATATCATGGCGCGTCCACAAATGTGCGGATTATTATTGATTGCATAGCTTCCATTTTAGAGATATGGCTTTTAGCTGCCGGACACCATAACTGGATGCCGTACATCTAAATAGGCTTTATTATTATTTTTTATATTAGTAACTTATTTTCTATACTTAGTTTAGATTTTCGACCTGTTAACCAATAAATGTCTTTTCTTCTAAATTTAATTTGTAGTATTTTTTTATGAATGCGTTGTTTCCAGGTTAGTTTAGAGTCAAGATGCAAACCCAGATATTTAATTAATTTAGTTTGGGGTATTTCATTATTGTGTATAATGATTGTTGGTACTTTGGCTTTGCGAAGAGTGAATGTAATGTGATTGCACTTATTGTAGTTGATTTTAATTTTTCGATCTATCAGCCATTTTTCAAGCTATTTTATGTGATTTTGCAAGATTATAGCTGCTTCTTGTAGATCTTCGTGTGTAGTTAAAATTGCAATGTCGTCGGCGAATGTACTTAATATAGTATCTTGCGTTGTGGAGATATCCGCAGTGTAGAGCGTATAGAGGTCCGGATCCAGTACACTTCCTTATGGTACACCAGCAAATATTACGTGTACAGTTGAGTGTGAGTCTTTAACTTTAACGTAAAAGGTTCTATTGTTTAGGTATGATTTAAGTAATAGATAAATTGGTACTATCATGCCATACCTTGTCAAAAGCTTTTTCTACATCTAAGAATAGACATGTACAGTATTTCTTGTTTTCCATAGTTGTTATTTGGTTAATTAATCTATAAACCTGTTCAGTTGTAGCATGTTTCTCTCTAAAGCCAAATTGTTGATCTGATATTAATCGTTTTTTATTAATTATTTTTTTAATTCTAGCTAATATTACTTTTTCTAAAAGTTTGGATAGAATCGGTAATAAAGAAATAGGTCTGTAAGAGGATGGTTCATGAATATTTTTATTCGGCTTAGGCAGCATTATTATTTCTGTCAGTTTCAGGGAAGTAGTGAAGTCTAAGTATGGCGTTAAATATTATGGTAATCATTCTGATGGCTCTTTCTGGGAGTTCTTTAATTACTTTCCCACTAATGAGATCAAAGCCTGGAGATTTTTTAGTATTTACTTTTTGTATTTATCTATAAATTTACTTATTGTATTTATCAATTGCTTTATTTCTTTTTTGTAATCTTGTATATCAAATTGTTTTGATCTTTACTTTCAGTACTATCGCATACAGTTGTAGCCTTTATTGTCGTAGCGATATTATTTGGCTGAAAAGTTTGATATAAGTGGTTTGCAAATATCTTGGCTTGTTCCGTGAACGTCTTTGCCCAAGATCCGTCTGGTTTTCGCAATGCTGGAGTCTGCATTATTGGTCTTTTTAATTTTTTTATTGCCTTCCAAAGTAAATAGTTTTATTAGTAGTATCTAGTATCTTCATTTGGCGTAAGGTTTAAGAGATATTTGCTAAACTCGGAATTACAGTATTCTTTTATCATTATTTTAACCTCTCTTGTGAGTGCATTTAACTGCCTTTCATTTTCTTCTGTTTTATGCCTTTGCCATTTGTATTTAGCTTTTCTTTTTTGTTTAATTTTCTGGAAAACATAGGCTGGATATGAATAGCTCGTTTTATTTTCTTGTATATTAGAAGTAGATAACCATGCTGACTCGAATTATTTTTGTTAAATAGTCCACGGCATTCTTGATGTGTTCTGATGTTTTTTCAATTTAGTTTTTCGTCAATAGTTGACATAAATTTATCCCAGTCCGTATTTTTATTATATAATTTGGGTGTAGCTTCTATGTGGATTAATTTTTATAGAAATTCTAACAGTATAGGTGTATGATCAAAGCTCAGTTCTGTGCTTGAGATTAATTTGAAGTGCGTTTTGTTCAGTCCTTTAGTTATGGCGAAATCTAGAAGATCTGGTGATTTGTTTGATGCTGCTGGCCAATAGGTGGTGTTCCCCCCTTTGTGGTGTTAATGATAATTTCTATGTGATTTCGAGCAGTGTTTTACCTCTAGATGAAGTTTTTTTTGATCCCCAATATTTGTGCTTAGCATTGTAATCTCCTACTGCTATAAATTTGTTTCCTAGACTTTTAAAGAAGTTTGAATATTGCTCTTGAGTAATTTTATGTTTTGGCAGTGAATATAAAGCCGATATTTGTGTTTCTCCGGTTATGTTTTCTAGTGTAATTGTTGTTGCTTGTAGATAGTCAAGTGAAGTATTGGCATATAAATAGTGTTTAATATTATTTTTAATGATAATCACAGAACCCTCGTATGCCTTTTCCCGATACTTAGTATCATATATGCTGTAGTGTAGTATTTTTATATAATTTTTAACTCTAAGATGAGTTTCCAAAATTGCCATAATATCAATATTATGTGTGTAGATGAAAATTTTGAGTTTTTGAATTCTTTGTTGTAACCCGTTGCTGTTCCAAACAACTATTCTGATTGATCCATCCATTATTTGTAGGTATTCAAGAATTTAATTAAGAGGTCTAACATGATGGTTATTTGATGTTTTTGTTGCTGTAACAGTGATGTTTGTATTGAGAGCATGTCTGTTATAAGTTCTGTATTTTTAGAAGATTGGATTAAAAATTGTTTAAGATTTGCATATTCGTTTCAAAGAGAATTTTTTGAGAAGTAGGAGGTACTAGGTTTTGTTGTTGCGAGGTTTGTTTGGCTGTTACTTGTGCATAAGTTCTGTTATTCTTGTAAAAATGTTTAATATAGTTTTAAGAAGTGTCTATTTTTGGATTGTATTCTGTGGTATAAGGAATATAGTTATTGTTAGTTTCAGATAATGTTCTTCGTCTTAAAGGAGGAAATGTTTTGTGTTGTAGTTGTTTACGTACCAAATCGTCTTTATAACTTGCTGGATAATTACTTTGGTAATTAAAGCACTTTACGTTTACTAGTTTACCCTGTTATGGGCAAAATGTAGTTAAGTGATTGCCTGCACATTTAACACAAGCAGCTAACCTATTGCAGTAATTTTTCGTATGACCGTAGGTTTGGCAGCAATGGCATTGAGGTATGTCGCGTTTCGGTCTTGGCGGTTTGAATTTAATTAATGTGTTGAGTAGTTTTTCTATGCTGTATATGTCCTTGTTATTATTATTTGGTTCAAGTTCAATAGCAAATAGAGGTAGTGGGTGTTTAGTATTATATTTGACTATATTATTAATCGATCTAATAACGTGTTTGTGTTGCTTAAATTCATCATTATTTTCTGTAAATTTGTTTTTGGATGAATTCCGATAGAATTACCTTGTAATGTCTTTCACCTTTAAGTTGATAGATGTGAAAATTTGCGTCTTTACTTTTTAACTCGTTTATTACTTTTCTATAGTGGTCCGAGGATGATAACTGGACTTTTGTCTGCTTATCTGTGAGTTTTTACTTTAAAGTAAAATTATTATGCTTGTTATACGAGTAATTCTATCAGCAGTTCAATGACTTAAGCTTGAGTGTAAATAGAAGGAGATTTGTTTCCTTCATTTGTTTTGGTGTCTTCATTTGTTTGGTGTCTTCATTTATTTTGGTGTCTTCATTTGTTTTGGTATCTTCATTTGTTTGGTGTCTTCATTTATTTTGGTATTATCTATCGGTGTAGCATCGGTTTCAGAGAAGATACTGTATGAGTTGTGTGTAGGTATATCTTGTAGCCACATTTCAGATTGATGGAACGTGCGTGAATTTGTCATATCTGCGATTTTATTAGATTATCTTTTTTTGCTAGTAGATAGGGACTCAGCTCGGTAAATTGAAGCATTAGTGGACATTTCGATATCCTCTACTTCATTATTTGATCTGTTCCGTATAGAGCAGGTGTCTCCCAACTTAGAGATTTTTAACTTTATTGGTGGCATGTCTGAGCCAGCACCCATACGATGTACGCTTACTGTCTCACCGCGCCGAGATAATACAAGAGGTTGTTAATGTACGCTATGAGAACGAAATTATTAATTTATAAGTTTACGCGTGTAGAAAGAGAAAGAGCCGATGTGCACTGGTCGAAGTGTAAAGAGAAACTCCGTCTTTTACGGAGTTACGTATGTAGACGGAAAATGCTTTTGTATCAAACGAAAAGGCTCATTGTCAGTACTTTTACCTTTTGATTTGCATTTGTATGTTCTACCTGAACTATATTTTTGTAAAACTTGTTCATTTTAATTTACTGAAAGATACGTTTCTTTCATCCAGTTACATAGTTATATAAAACAAATGTATTATACACAAAAATGTATTATAAAAATGTATTATACAGCAAAATCAAATAAATAAAAACAGAATTTCTTGTATCATTTTAAACTTTTTCTAGTAGAATACAGATTATATAAAATCTGATCAACTTTGCCAATCGCTCCCGTTGTATTATTATAATCAATTATACATAGTGGTTTGATTATTTTTTATTTTATTAAGTAATGTATCTTGTTTGTATCAATCATATTGGGTAGTTCATGATAAATGAAAATCGTCCACACTTCCCTTTTGTTCATCCATTTCAACGCTAATATTCTTTTTGTTGAACGAAATATATTCTTTTTTATCTTTTTATTCTATTTCGGTATACCCAACTTTTTTTTTCTTATCGTTTCATATACGTTGGTTAAATTTTTATGTGACTCGAGGAATAAACTGGGACTGTTGTATCAATTATCGGTCATGAATGTATAACCTTTTCCAAGATATAGCTTAAGAAATGTTATTATTGTCTGTCCGGACTTTCCTATCGATTTTGATGATATATCTTCAAATATTATCATTTGCCCCGAAATATAATTCTTTGAGTTCTTCCGAAAAGAAAATTTGAAAAAAATTTGGAATACATATATATATATATATATATATATATATATATACTTATATGTGTATATATAAACAATATGTAAGACGTTAGATCAAAGAATTGATTTACTTGATAAATAAAAAAAACGCTGCACTTTTCGATCGTTCACAGTATTCTCCCCAAACGCCTGGTTTATATTGCGTGCAGCTTTTGCATCATTATTACCAAGTTTATACTCATATAAGAAAATTATACGAATATCGGTTGAATTCATATCGGTGCAAAATTCAAAGCAAATAACAAAAGGAAACACTTTTGAGAAAATTTTCTTTGCTAAAATGTGACTCTAGCAATGGACAGTACGACTATAAACCAGGTTATATCAAAAACAAAAACATAACAAAAACAGGGAGACAAACGTTCACATTTAAAGAAAATCCGACATTTCATACGCACCGACCTAATAGATAAGTAGATAAACACAACATTTATTTTTGAATCTCTATACCGCCGGTCATAGACCAATTATACCTAAAGAAAAAGTTTGTCAGTTCCAAAGAATTAAAGCCCCCCTTAATGTCTTTGCTCTTGTTATATTTATACTTGTATAGTTCTTAAAATAACAGTACTTTTTCTTGAATTTTATTTCTTATACATAATTTTTAATTTTTTATACATTTCTGTTTATGTCTCACGAATTAAAACTTCTGGCCTCATTGTTTTGTATATTGTTCTCATTATGTAATGTTTTGCTCTTGCATCTTTTATCTTCCATTGATTTATTTTCGTATTATCTTTACATTAATTTGCTACTGTTTTTCTCCTATCTATAACATCCTTTAACTCTTTTAATGCAAAAATAGAATATATATTTCAAGGTCTCAAAAAGGATATATATCAGTGCTTTATATCACTCATATATTTGAGATCTCATCTTATTTATACATAATTGCCATCTTGTATGTACAATATACATCCGTAGAATTTAATGGTAAGTTATATTCTATACGCATGTACTTGTAAATTTAGAAAAAACCATGAGAATTTTAGTGGTTGAATCCTATGTTAAAACATAACATAACACTGCAAGAACAGATGCATATGAAAAAGGAACGTTTCGGTATTTTTTACACATATCATTTTACACAATCCCTGTTTGAAAAGCTAGCTCTAACCTATCAGATAAGTGGAAGAACTAACTTGCTCTATTGAAAACATTAAAATTTTAAATGTAACTGCATTTATTAAATTAGAGAGCAGTAATAATTAGTTATATTATGGTACAGGTAAACCAAAATTCACATACACTGCTACCATACACTCCAACCATACACTGCAACCATACACTCTAACTATATACTACAACCGTAGGCTGTTTCTCACAAATCTAAAAAGAAGAAACATTCGCACTAAATCTTAAATGTATAAGTACCATTGATGATGTTTAGTCTATCTTCTCTTTTTAAGTCTATCTATAATAGTTTGAGAATCTACAACAAATTTGAAGTACCCTAAGTAACAGCTGACAAATTAGCTGAAGGAATTAAGAAATTAAAGAACACAAACCCTAAATCAAACTTACACATATGTTACACTTAACATATATATCCTATCAAACTGTGTAACTTCCCAAATCTAGTCCTTTTGTAATTTTAAAATACTTGTAACAAGATTTTCAAACCTGCGCCAATCCTACCACTTATTGATCCAAATTTTAATTACCAAAACAAATTGTTATATCCATAAAATCAATAAACGACGGATGAGACAATTACCTCTATCAAAGTTTGATGAAACATCCTTTAATCTCTACAAATTCACTATGTTTCATTCCAAGGGAGAGGCTGTTATGTCTGCTCATCCAATTCCTATCTCCTTCTTTAACTTTTTATTTTTTCCACAAAGGCCGTATAGAACAAAATCCTATCTTCTTTTTTGGCTTGTATATATTTTCCATCACCTTGACTCTCTTTCACTTTTTCGACTTCTCTTTTTCATTCTCTCTTTTCCATGTTCGTTTCTTCCTGATCGAACGATCTTCGATTCAAAGTAATATATATAAACTGATCGATTTTTACGAAAAGACGTCAAAAAGAACTATTCTCTCTATATGAATTATATAGAAAGGAAGAAAATAAACTCTTCAACCGATTCCTAATCTGCAGTATTTTCCAATCCATAAAAAACCTATGGCGACAGAAGAACTGTCGCATAGAGTTTGAAGTTTTCTTTATTTATTCAGATTTGAAACGATTCAGTATTTCATCAATAATCACTCACTGTGGCTTCTTTTCCGATGTCGATTTGTAATTCTTTGGAAACTACGATTTTTCCCTATCATGTCATTTAATATAGTGCCTGCACGTAGAAAAAATTAACAACCGCTGGTAACAGGAAACTTAATTTTATTGACTCGTTCCCTGCCGTGTGGGACGTATGCGCCCCACCCTGAACTTTCCGTTCAAGCATTTGAAATTCTCATTGATACAATTCGTATAGTAAAGTAATGTTTAACCACGTGTTTATTAAAATAATTCTTTGAAACTTAATTACACCCTTTTCTTGATAATTATGGTCTGTATTATTGTACAGATTGTAAGGCATATGTTAAAAGTAAAACTAATCGTAAAACGTGGGGCATATACACCCCTGACGACCTAAACAGAAAGTATCCAAAAATCAGACTAACACAGAACGTATTAAAATAAACTGAAGTATCTTTCTAGAATGTCTTAACGCTCTATGCCGAAATTTAGATAGAAGTGTAAGAAATAGGGATTTATAGTTTTCTAGTATCTAAAAAGCAACGCTGCTGTTGTACTATTAGATTGGAAACTATGAAACGGGCGTTGAATGAAAATAAATAACTAAACAAAAACGCCCGTTTCATAGTTTCCAACCTAATACTTCTCCAGTTCTGGTAAATTAGTTACTACGTTCGCTACATCAGCGATCAATGCAAATGGAGCATGACAGCAAACTATTATGCACGCATTTCGCACCAATAGGGTTGAGTAACTGTTCTAATTACATTGATTGCATTTTCACGAATCTCTTGAGATGCGTTTGCCATTTTATTATATAGAGATATGATCGAGATAATGTTAGAATATCAGGTTCTTGAGAGCTTATTTGCGTGTCGACGAGCGTTCGACTGACATTCTCTTTCTCATTTGTCAATTCGTCATTCATATCATATCGAAATTAATACTACAGAGTCGATTTTACTTCTAATTAAAAAAGATAACACTTGAACTTCCGCTTAACAGAACAATGAATATATTTGATATTAATACAAATTTAATAAAATAAAGTATATAAAATAGGCACAAATAACAATTCAAGAAAAGGACCAAAGTCTTAAGCGTTTTCCATGTATCAGAGTCCACATGCATCAAAGTTACTGAAACAGGATTGGCTGAACAAATCGCACATTGATTGGCGACCGTGTCACATGAAAAGACTGTATCCACATTGCCAACCTTTGTTGTTATGCGCGTATTTCTAGCGTCACTATAATAGTAATCAGTGACCCAACCCTGGGAATGACCAATCCACCTAAAGAATCGTATTATAAATATCGATATATTTCATCAATTCATTTATTAATTCAAGCGGATAAAAGAGACGTCAAAAATCTGTCATTGAGTTTAATTGGATCTTAAACTAAACCTTTTTATATGTAATTTTAACTCCTTTGTAAAGTATCAAAGAATGATTTTGATTTATATTGAAATGAGACAATAAATGTTAAAATGTGGTCTTTTTTTGCGAGAGACCCTACAAAGGATTTTCCATATGAGATTGGAGAACCTGTTCCAGGTTTAGAAAATAAAAGTATTTGGACGTTACATAAAGCTAAAAGAAAGGTAATAAAAAAGGTGTAACCTATTATGATTATATTAAAATCATTGGATAAAGAAGTTCTTAATTCATTGTAAGGGTTCTACTGTGGGAGAAGATGTGTCCGTGTTCGTATTTGAAGTCAAAAATGGTGGAGAACATTTCTTGGATATTGCACGCACAGCAGTCAAAAGACTTAAAACACTCAGACATCCAAGTATACTTGCATATTTTGATAGTCTTGAGGTATTAGCATGCTGAGATATTTGTACAAATTTGTTTCTATCTACTGTGGAGAAATTTAAGTATTTATATAGTAGGAATATGGAAACATTCCTACCATAAGAATACTTAAATCCTTCCTCTCTGTATATATACTAATTGAAGTAATAATTTTGCTTTAGACAGATAAAATGGTTTATTTAGTGACTGAAAGAGTAGAACCATTACAGAATCGTCTTTCACGCAAATTAGATTCTGAAGATGTTATCAAAATAGATTTGTACTTTTCTTGGGGAATATTTCAAGTCACAGTGTGTATAAAGTTTTGTTTTTTCTATGTCATTTGTAACATTTTAATTCATATCTTCAAATTTATATCAATTTATTTTGTCGATAGAGGGCATTGAATTTCTTAAATAACGATGGTAATTTACGACACAACAATGTCAATTTGTGGGCTGTATTTGTAAATGAGGAAAGTGGTGAATGGAAACTTGGAGGAGTTGAATATATGACTGCTGTGGATACATTATATACAAAATTGCCTTCAAATTTTGAAGTATATCAACCACCAGAAATTAAAGAAAATGCAAAGCCAGCTACTAAATGGTAAAAATTATTGTGGAATATTAAAAAATAGAATAGATATTTAGATTTTAATGCAAATAATAAATAATTATATATTTGTAATGTTAAAATATTAATACAACTTGAAAATATTAATCACATATATCTATCTTTCAAAATTTTAAGGTTATTTTATTTTTTTAATGGTAAAATTTAATAAATTACTTCATGTTTTTCTATAATCGGAAAATCTTTGACATTTATTTCTTTATATCAATTTGCATATAACGAGTATTTAAATTCATATATTTTACAATGTCAGTACTTTCTATATCTAAACATTTAGGTTTAATGTTAACACTGTGAAACTCATGAATGAATAAAAAATAGCTCAATTGACATGTGGGGACTTGGCTGCCTGATCTGGGAAACATTTAATGGTCCACTTAATACCCTCACTCAACTTAAAAATATTAGTAAAGTATGTATGTTTTTATTTACTGTAATATATTAAGCAAAATTCAAAAATATATATTTTTTGTTTTATAAGATACCGAAACAGTTAGCAGCTGTATATCAGGAACTAACAGGCAACAATGCAGAAGGAAGACCAAATCCTGCAGATGTGATAGCACGTTGTCGTAGCAATGGAGGATTTTTCAAAAACAATCTTGTTGATGCACTTTTATTTTTAGAAGAAATTCAGATGAAAGAAAGAGGAGAAAAGGGACGTTTTTTTTCACAACTTGCTGGTCAATTAAATTCATTTCCGAAAGGTGTTGGAAGATTTAAGATTTTACCACAATTACTAGCTGCTTTTGAGTTCGGAGATGCTGGGAGTGCAGTATTGCCTCCTTTATTGCAATTAGGTAGTCAGTTACCTGATTCTGAATATCAACGTCGTGTAGTACCTTGTGTTGTAAAATTATTTGCATCCAATGTTCGAGCAACTAGACTACGATTACTACAGCAATTAGATAGATATATAGATCATCTCCAACCAGCAACTGTAAATGAAGCAATTTTCCCGCAGGTATACACTTATCATACTTGTCTTATCTGTCATAAAATTAGATATACTTTTTTGTGATAGGTAGCACGAGGCTTTTTAGATATGAATCCAGCAATTAGAGAACAAACTATAAAATCGGTTGTGCATTTAGCTCCTAAATTAGATTATAACAATCTTAATGTTGAAACATTAAGGTATTTTGCAAAACTTCAATCAAAGGATGAAATGGGTGGTATTCGTACAAATACAACTGTTTGTCTTGGAAAAATTGCTCAACATCTCCATCCACAGATAAGACAGAAGGTAAAATGTTTATATCAAATACAAAAAGCGTGTAATCAATGTAATGTCTAAATTATTACATTACATTTAAATATATGTGTAGGTCTTAATAGGGGCATTTATAAGAGGTACACGTGATTCATTTCCACCTGCTAGGACTGCAAGTATTCTAGCTTTAGCAGCAACACAACAATACTTCCTATTGCAAGAAGTAGCAAATCGGATTTTACCTGCTTTATGTCCACTTACTACAGATGTTGATAAAGAAGTGAGGGATAATGCATTTCGAACTATACGTGGATTCTTATCTAAGCTTGAAAGAGTTTCAGAAGATCCAGGACTTCGCGAATCAATGGGTAGATATACATTTTTAATAGAATAACATTTTTTTAATATAGAATTTTATTATGTAATGTAACATTTTTCCATTACTATAGAGGCTGATGTAAATACTGCTACACCTAGTTTGAGTAATGCTGCAGCAACATGGGCTGGATGGGCTGTAGCTGCAGTTACTGCAAAATTTTACCGTAGTCAATCGGATACACCAAAATCATCAAACTCTCATAATACATCTAGAATTTTATTAAATAAACCTGCTTCTCTAGGTCTGTTTTTAATTCAATATATTCCTATGATATAGGAATATTATAAATCCAATATAATTATATATTTAATATTCTGAATTCTATTAAATTGCAGAACAAGCCAGCAGTTCACAAAGTAGTGCAAGTACAACTGCTACAACAAGTAGTACAACAAGTATGACATCTCTTGATCATGATCATGAACATGATATTCCTAACACTACAAATACAAATTCTGACTGTGATTGGGACTGTTGGGATGCTGATAATTGGGGTGACATGGAGCAACAGCCTTCAACATCTGTTCCATCTAATTCAGCTACTAATATTTCAATATCTTCTCATTCTCCCAAAGCCCATGATCAATGGACAAGTCTTGAAGAAGAACCAGTTCGTATAACATTATATTTATAAATGATTAAGACAATATAAATAGTACATACCATTAATTAATATTAATGATTTTATATATGAATGGTGCTACTTTTAGGAAGAAGAAGCAGTACAGGAAATAGAGGATAAAAATGAAGGAATTGAAGTAGGTTGGGAAGATTCTGAATTTCAACCACTTGAAGATATACAGCCTATAGAACAGATAGGTAAATTTCAATACTTTTTTCTTTTTTTAGAATATTCTGTTCCAATATAATTATATTAAAATTTACAGGTATACCTAGTGGAAACAATAAATTTGAAGAGGCTAAAAGAAAAAGAGATGAACGGAAATTAGCTAGACAAAGACAAATGGAAGCAAAGAGAGCTATAAAATTAAGAACTAATACAATTAATAAAAAACTTTAATTAAAATATCAAATTCCCCAAAAAATGGTACTTAATTATACCTTAAATAACTTAAATTAATAATACTTTCTATATAAAAAGTTTTATTTAAAGTAAAAGAAGATTAAAAAGGTTAATTTATGTTGTTTTTTAAATTACATCTATAACGTGTGTATGTATTTGTGTGTGCGTACACTTACTGCACTTACGTATCTAATAGTCTCTAATTATATCTATAATTATTTTCAAAATACAGGGTATTCAGTACTTTCGGAATCAATGAATTCTACACATGAAAACGATAAAAAAATATAAATGTATACCTTACTTGACCTTTTTTCAAGTTATATTGAGTTTCTTTAATATACTGTATCTATTTATCTTCACAAAAGATGTTCAAAATGACTTCCTTGCATTTTAATATAAATTTAGAGACATTTAAAAATTGATCGTCTTAAACTCTTCATTTCTTCAGATATCCAGGTATTGTTTAAATTTTCGAAAACCTCATTCAAATCTCTCATGAAATATTTCGGCACTGTCAACGGGCGATCTGTACATGACGAATTTCAAATAATCCCACAAATAATAATCCATTGATTCAACGTTGGATATCGAATTGTGTTTGTAAATAGATAGGTGAAATCAGTAATTCAACTACTTCTATCTTTCGACAGAATCATTTCAACATAAAATTTACTATAAGTCGAAAACAAAGTCAAATAGGGCATATCTTTATATGAACCTTTTTTTATTAGGTTCATGTGCAGAATCCATCACCAAAGCGATTCCCCGGAGCTTCGTGACACCATATATATACTTTGCTTAATATATAATAGATACATATCCAATATCCTCTTTTTGAGGATAAGATGTCACATAAAATTTATGAAGATATAAAGTCTAATAATTAAATTATTTTTTCGATTGAGTATTTATGCGTATAAATATATCTAATTGTTATGTGTATGCTATATTTATTAATATTTTATAATATCATATAACTTTCTATTACATAAAAATTTAATTCCATAAATATAATATAATAATAGAATTACAGTTATAATTTATATGATTTGTGGATTTTCATTTATAACAGTTTAATATTTATGTGATAAATACGATAATTAACAAAAAGTTAAAATATTAACATTTAAAAAAACGATAATAATTAAGTACTTTATTCACAAATGAGATTGTTCAGTAGTACTTTCATTTGAGAATCTTATATTAAGACTATTCGCATTATTAGGTTCTCTTTTAAAACCTAAACTTTCATAGAATGGTATGAGATTATCTCGGCAATCCAAAGATATTTTATAACAATGTAAATAGCGGGCCAGTTGCAAAATAACATTAATAAGTAATTTACCCAAATGTTTACCTCTATAATTATTATTCACGACCACATCTTCCAAACGTCCACGCTACAAAACATTTTATGTACATACAAACTTATGATTGTACATATATGCATAATATAATAACCAATCAAAAATGTGATACATACCAATGCACAGTTATGAATAAACTTTTGCTCTGATATCAAAGTGGCACTTCCAATTACCTTAGTACTATGTGTATCTTCTATAACAATGATGTAATAAATTCCTGTATTTTTCATACTTTGGAACTTGTCTACAAAAAATTCATTTAAAATAAATGATTTATCATACAAAATGTTTTTTTGTAAACCATTATTTTATTGATATCACTTACTTAGAAACTGTTCTTTATTTACTTTTCCTACTTCTGTTAATTGTGCCAAAAGTTCTAAAAATCCTGTAAATTTAATATGAAATGAGTAAAACATTTCATGTATATATTTATATCTTTTTTATTATTATATCTACAATATTAAAAATCTATATATATAAAATTAACATACCTTTATCATAATCAGTAGATCTAAGAGGTCGTAACAACAAACCCTCAACATGTGGTAATGTTAATCGTTCCAATATATTTTTATTGAACAGTTCAATTCCTGCTTCTGTATGATAGACATCCTAAACCATATTTATACATATTAGTAAAACAGATTCTTATTAAATGATCGAAAATTTAATTATTTATATTATCATAAGGATTACAAAAAAAATCTTCTATTTACTCATTAATGAATAGAAAAGTAACTATTAGTAACTATTTAAGAAAAATGTAAATAATAAATGATAACTAAATAAATGATAAAATAAGTAAATAAATGATCTATTTAAAAAATGAAAAAACCAAATATAACCTGTTGTAAATTCATTTTTACTCGCAATTATGAAGAAACAAACGTGTTGTAACTTATTTTAATTCGTTAAGAAAAACCAACTTGTAACAGTCGTCGATAATTTTAATCTTGCTTCGGAATATAATGTCAAAAAAATTCTTTGTCGTGGCATTCCAGCAACGGCACTCTCACACAATTGCCCGCGGCTATCTCTATTTTTTATCGTATTTTTAAATACATTTTTCTCGAGATATTTTGTTCCGTTCGAGCTAGTATTTTTACCTACTAAAACAAAACAATACAAGCATTATATCACGAATATTCGTTTATTATTTCTCTTGTTTTAAAATCGTTTAGATTACATTATTATAACGCCAATAAAAAATGATTCAACCGAATACTTTACTCATTCGTTTTTTCTATACGTATGCTTACATATCCTTATCTCTAATAGCCTTTTCTGTGACAGTATCGCTGATAAATGTAAATTTAAATTACTTTTCAATTCACTTGAATATTGTAATTTTATCAGATGTAATCATTACAAAATAATATTACATTGTAATATGTAGTAATACTTTTGCTATGTACTGTGTAATAAATTTAACGAGACGATTATTAAATAATAATTTTTCGACAACGCGTTATCATATATTAAGATTCAACTATTATATTGTTTAGTAATGTGTAATAATTGATTAGAAAAATTGGCATCATGAAATAAATATATCGCATTGAACACATTCGCATTCATTATATTAATAAAATCTCATAATAAATTTTATACGTTTCTTCTGTATATTTAAAGAATAATGGAAGATAGATTGGAGAAAAATCTCTCTCTCTCTCTCTCTCTCTCTCTCTCTTTCTCTCTGTATCAAAGATTTTAATTTAATTAAATCAAAAATTTTTTAATATATTATATACTTTACTGTTATAAAATAATAATTTTGGATTTCATTTTTTGAAATTATAAAATTTTTATTTATCATTTTCATATTCTATGATGATTATTAATTTTATATTAAAAAATTATGGACTAATCATTTAATTATAAGTTATTATATCATAAGTACATATTCTGTAATCATAACGCTAACTCTATTGTTATAAGATTTTCATTATGAATATTTAGTAATTCGGTACATACATACGAGATAAAATATATATGTTTGACAATATTGCGCGAAAGCTTGAGATAAAATGTATTTAATTTTTCATTTTAATCAAAAACAAATAAATTTGTTTTTCTAATAATATAGTTTTGTTCAGCGGATTCTGGGGGATATTAAAACTATGATATATGTCTACATTATCAGAGATACATATAAGAACCCCTTTCAATCCAATATTTTGTAACGTTCCTATGCATTTAACTAGATTCAAGAAAATCTAGATAGTGCTTTTTAATAATCGACCCAATTCGACATAAAAACTATTTAATGGAAATTACCCAATGATATCGAATGCAAACGATATGAAACAAGAGCGAAACGACGTCTAGCGGACAATTATAACATTACAATATTTGTGTAGTATTGAAAACTACACAGGCTGAGTCACTGACGTCAATCGACGTTCAGCTCCTGTGACAAGTTCTTTTCAAGAACTGTTTGTTTCATGGTTCAGTTTCATATTCGTGTATTACTTTTGGTCGGTCGTACGAAAAGAAGGTATTATATAATATAAAATTGTATTTTTATTTAAATGTTTTATTAAATTAAAATATTACAAAATAAAAATATATATTAGGTAATATTGAATCATTTTTTTCAGAAATCGTAATCATAATAATTAATTTATACGAATTAATCCAATAAAGTGTAATTCATAATTATTATATAGTACATTTTCCATGAAAATATATTTATTTTAAAAAATAAAAAAGAATAATAAATATTTTTCTTTTTCAGTAAAATATGGCTGATGCACCATCTAAATCTCGTCCAATGAAATATCCATATACAACAGCTGCGCAAATAGCACAGTTTCCATATCGGCATTATTTTAAACATAGTTGGTTATTGAAATACTGGATGATTGCTATAGTTATCTCTGCACCATTATTTATGAAAATTCAAAAATTATGTATGTATCATTTTGTTCTCAAAAGTATAATTGAATGCTACATTAAATTACTTTAATTTGAATAAAATATTAAAATTTCAGCCTACTCAGAAGGAAACGTTAAAGTATGGAACGAAAAGAGAAAGAAAGAATTTGAAGGACATGGTCATTAAGAAAAAAACTTCAATTAGTACATAGCATGTTGTAACATTAAATGTAAAAGAATAAATAAAGTAATCTGTACTCATATAATCCTTTATCTGTATAAATGTGAACACTTGATTGATTTTGAAAATATTTATTACCAAATTAATTGTATAAAACATACACAGTTACAAAGGACTGTTTCAATGACCGCTGTACAGTGTAATGAATAATAATAATTTGTACCATATATTTGCGTAGGCCCAGCCTAAAGTTTTTAATTGTTTATAAACAAGCTGATCTTCGGAAAAAAACCAAGTGCTATTATACTAATTTTTGAAAATTTTGTAAAAAGAACCACACATTTACCACATAATATAATGTATTCTGAATTAGCAAGATCTATTGTTCAGATGTGTAAATTCGTAAATAGTAATCATTATTATATTATCTAAGCATTCAGTTGAATATTTTATAAATACTTAAATGTTGCATTTTTAAATAAGCAAACTCAATCTTTTAGAGTAAAACATAAAACGTGCGTTGTTTTTATCTCTTCTTTAAAACTTCTAAATTTTCTTCGTTTTCAATGCCATTTTCATTGGTATCGCTCCTGTTTAATTTTGGCTTTTTAGCAATTGACTGTCCTGTGTCATCTTCAAAATTCAATCCTATTTCCTTGCATCGCTTTTCGAAATACTTCAATAATCTTGAACCTGCCCTATAAACATAACTATTTTTAAAAGGACATAGCCTTACTCTAATTAAATATACTAATTCATATGTTCGGAGGCCAAAGATTCTTCCTTCTTTGTTAGTACAGTTGTTCTCAATCTGATTTTACTGATATTTATGTACAATATATATATTAAATATATACAATACAAATTAAACACATACCATATATATATAACTGTCATCTTAAATTATCATCTCACAACCATAACTTAAATTTTAAAAACTATCAAAGTAATGTATGCCCATTTTACCTAACTTTTTCTATACACAATTAGTATAAGTATGTAATATCTAATATGGCATGCACAAATAAGATGCTTGTATTAACATATATGTTGAATATAATTTTGGATTATATGTTTAATCTTGTTAACATAGAAAAGCAAAAATACTTAAAATTTTACGAAAATAATAAAAATAATTCTTCAGAAATTTAGGAAATTTCTAATTAATAAAAAGTTACAATGTATTTAAGACTAACATATATATTCATATTATCGAATAAATTCAAATATATTAATGCCTGTAGAAGTTCCTACCTACTCTCAAAATCTCTGGCATCCGAACTAATATAAAATATTCTTTTTCGTTTTTAATTTTACTTACTTATAAACCGAACTATGTTCCTGATTATATGCTTGACAATTTTCAAAAACCAAGTGACAGTCATTAAAAAATTGTTGTAAGTTTTCATACCCTCCATTTCCAAGTTTGTATTTGATTGTACCAAAGTCCATAGGGTTAGATATAATGTCATGATAATCTGGAACCTCATCTTTTGTGACAGGAGAAAGAAAAGGCCACGAATCTCTATGATGTCTGATATCTAATAATAACTCTTGTAACTTCGTCATATATCCTTTAACTGTTTTGTCTTCTTGGAAATTTTCTGCAGCTCTTTTTGTTGCTCTACGAGTTTGCCTTGGCTCTGTATCATCTGAATTACTATCTGCTGGAAAATATAGATATCTTCATTTATTAAAATGTAATATTATTTATATTATGTTAAGATCATAATAATACTTAAAATAATTGTTATATATTAATCAAATTGTATATATATGAAATAGAATAAATTTTACTATTAAATATTATCTATATAAAAAATATAATATAAATGTTTTAAAATTATAAGCTGCTATTTTTTTAATTAAAACAAAAATGATTATAGAAAAACATATTTGGAGTTTTACAACAATGCAGTTTTGAAACATGCAATTCATTTCATATACTTCAGCATATACAGGATGGACTATTTAAATCAGAATACTTGAATACCTTCATTATTTTTAATTTTATGGAAAAAGTTCTTAAGACAAAGTTACACTATTTGAAAAGGTACACTAATGATGAAAATTATTTTTTCTAGAGATCATTTTTTTACAAGATTTCAAAGTTATTGGTATTTTTAAAAATGGAAACCTAAGAATTTTTCTGTATCTATTTACATTTTAAATGATTTTTGCATAATTTCTCGTGCTATTCTAAATAAATAAATATAAAGCTACAATGTCAAAAAATAATTAGTTAATAAGGTATTTTGAAAAAATGTCTAGTGACAAACGTAACTGTAACAAGCCATATTTTTGGATTTAGTTGGAAAAAATGTTAGAAGAAAAAGTTGAATGGTTCCAAATGGATTACATATTCACGATATTTTTTTTGCAAATGCATATGCATTATTGTTTTTTAAATACTCATACACATGCATTTTTTTCAATTGCACATGCACATGTATATAATGCACTTGAGAAAATATATGATCGTGAATATGTAGTTCACCTTGAATCTTCCATCTTTTTTTCTAAAATTTTTGGCTAACTTCAATCAAAAAGAAGATTTGAGTTGTTACAATTGCGTGAATCACTAGATATTTTTTACGTTAACATTTATGTCAATATTCTTGTATTCTTGTACTTTTTTTTGTTTAGAATAGCATGAGAAGTGAATTCATGCAAAAAAAATTCATAGTTTTATTTAAAATAATACCGATAACCTTGAAATCTTAAAAAAATGATCTTGAGAAAAAATTCTTTCCATCATTAGATGTGCCCTTTCAAGCAGTATAACTTTGTCTTAAGGACATTTTCCATAAAATCATAAATTACAGAGATATTTAAGTGTTCCCATTTAATATGTATATACGGGATATCCTACTTAAAATCGAACGTCTAAATATTTCCTTTGGATTGGGTGATATGAAAAAATATAACAGGACAAGAATACATTCAAGGGAAATAATTAAATATAAAAAATTTTTTCAATTTTTTAATAAAACGTTTTTGTCATTGTAATATGGCTTATAAAATATTATATTCGGAGGGTATATCTTTTTAAACATAAAATGAACTTAAACGAAAAAATCACGTTTAAATGGAAACAATATAGAAATAGTATATTTTAAGATCACTGGTGCCATTAATAGTTCAATAAATCAATACATATCCGAAATTGTTTTTCTATATTAATACTGTGATAATAACACATCTTTTCATGTCTTGGAGAGAAATAGGTTGTTCAAAGTAAATAGTAAAGATGATTGAAAACAATCCCAAAGAAAAATCTAACAGTCTCTTTTTTATTCATTTGTTATTTAATTTATTATAATGTACTCTTGTGGAATAATTTAAGCACTATGATTTAAAAAATACATCAGTTGGATTGAAGTAGGTAAGATTAACATTCCTATATTTTTTCCACTCAAACGTGATTTTATTTATCTTGTATTACTTTTTCATATTATTCAATCCAAGAGAAATATTTAAGTGTTCAATTTTAAATGAGGCATTCTGTGTATGTATTATATATAACAATGATTATATATTAAAAAGTGCTACGAAATGCCACTACTTATCTGTAAAAATATTTTATGAGCATCTTTAGAAAAAATTAGACATTTATAGAAAAGGGTATAATACAGACCATCCCAGTCTGTAGATTCTGTAGTGAGGAGGCTCTTGGCAAAGCCATGGATGCGAGAGCGTGCTGCTGCTGCGCACAACCTCTCCTTGTCTCTTTCCCTTTCACGCCCCCTCACTAAGAACACAGTAAAAACTAAGAAATCTTCAAACACTGTTAAGATTACAACGATAAAGCATCCATATATTTTTTCCTTATCAGGTTTTGATTATTCCTAATATACCAAAACTTATAGTAAAATAGCAATCAGTGCATAACTTATTTTTTAATTTTTACCATCTTTCAACAAGACTAGACAATTCATTATTTACTGTAATATTAAAAGAATTCTTACCAAATTTAGAAATAGGTTTTCTTCTTTCTTTGCAACTTATACAAGACCACCTGCCTCTTGGCATTCTCGACAAAGGAGGTTCAATGCATTCCAAATGAAAATGATTTGAACAAATATCACAACTAACGAGCTTTCCACCACTTTTGCACGAAGAACATACATTAATTGATTTGTTTCTGCCAAATAATTGAATTTTCATTTATAATTATGGTCTTATTTCTATATTCTAATAATATTACTTACATGTCTTCATCACTTCCTTCTTCCATTTCATCTTTTTGATCTTTATCTTGATCTTCTTCATCTTCACTCCCAGGAATACGTTTGGCACGATTATGTCGAGTTTCTTTGGTTAAAATTAAATCTTCATCAATTTCATCTTCAAATTTTCTTCGTTTCTTAACTTTTTCTTTTGGTTTTATTTCTGGTGGTTTACAAGTAGAACAAAACCAATCCCCTTCAGGTACTGCCTAAAAAGTACATATGATTTGCTTTTACATATGCAATGATATTTGCATAGTAAGAAATGATAAAAGTACGAATGAGAGGCTTACATTTAATTTTGGTTTTAAACAGTACAGATGGTGGCCTTTATTACATCCATCACACAGTAGCATATTTTCTGCATCTCTTCGTCTTCGACATACTCGACATTGAGCATTAAATGCGCTTCTACCCCATGCAATACTATTTTCTAAAGTATTTAAGTGCACAAATAATTGAGACCAGCTCGTTGAAGCCATAAGAGATTGTTCCCATTTATCTCGAGCTTCTTCACAAGACCATTTTTTATCTTTTTCATCTGTACCTAATGGCTTTTTTAAGTACCGTTGTTCTATAGCATGAGATAGCTGTAAAATAGCACAAGCCATTTGTTTAATATTTGTTTGTTGTTTTGGATCTGGATAAATTTCATTTTCATTAGGAGGACCAAGGTACTTTCCAGGATCTTTATAATTTCTTATATTAATACTACTAATTTCTGAATCTGGAGTACCAGGTCTACTTTGTTTGGATTCATTTTTTACTTTATCCAATACAATATTAGGAGCAACATCTGCATCAATCTCATTTATACCATATACTAATTTTTCACACTGTTTATCATAACTCTCAT